TTGTTTAACACATGGTTGCTACACATTATGGCCTCACCCCACAGTGTTTCAGGTAAACCTGAATTGGATAACATAGTGCGAGCCATGGCTTTTAATGTTTGCCCTCTTCGTTCTATAAATGAATTATGTTGTGGCCTGTAAGATGCAGAACGCTTATGCTCAATACCAGCCAATGTTAACATTGTTTGGAATCTATTGTTAATAAACTCAGTCCCATTATCTGTTACTACAGTAATTACCTTATTTTTCATTTTTCTTTCTGCAAACCTTAGCCAATTAAAGAAATGTTGGAATGTTTCTGTTTTGTTTTTCACTAAATAGCAGAAACCGTACCATGAGTAATGGTCCATTATACTCAAAACATAGCAGGCACCTCCCAAACTGGGTTTCGTAGGACCAATTATGCCAGCAAACACAACCTCTAAAGGTTCTTTGGTCTTAAACCCATTCAGTCTGTTTGCAGGAATAACCTTGCTTTTCTCCTGGTTACAGGCATTACAGTTTAAGTACTTGCTACAGGGTTTTAATTTTACTCCCTCTGACAATTTGACAGTTTGTTTCAGCATTTTAAAATTAATGTGCCGTAGACATCCATGCAGTAAATGTATACATTTGTCATGTGGCTTAACATTGCTATAAACCGAGTTAGCCATCTGCAACTGGTCATCATGTATCACATATAAATCATTCTCTAAAGTAGCAATAACACTTTTACCCTCTTTCTCTATTATACAGTTATCTCCCCTAAAGGTTACTACATAACCAATATTAACTAAAGCCCTTACTGATAACAAATTAAATTTCAGTTTAGATACATATAACATAGGTAAATGATCATTTATACAAGAACAATATGCAGTACCTTCACCTGATGCTTTAAGCTTCCATCCATTTGCCAATGATACTTGTTGCTTACTCGTGGACATCTTTACAAACCTCTCTCTATTTCTAATAATATACTGCGATGCTCCACTATCAACTACCCACAAATCATGGTTTACAGTTGAATTGCTAGACATAGCTAAATTAACATTCTTCTTAGCCTTCTGGTGATTACCAGTATTCTGTCATTTTCCCTTCTTACAGAATCTAGCTATATGTCCCTTAGCCCCACAAGAAAAACATTTCCTAACAGTATAGGCATTTGAAAACAAATCCTCTTCTTGTGGTTGTTTTTCTCTCAGTTGATCTCTTTCCAGCCTTCTTCTTGCCTCTTCTAACAATCGTCCAGTTATGTCAGTCAATGTCAGTTCATTTCTGGTCAGGAATTCCAGTGAAGATACGTAATCATCATAACTTTTCTCCAATGAGGAAAGAATGATGCAAACCTGATGCAGGTCTGAAAAAATGAGTTCCTTTTCATGTAGCTCTTGAAAAGTTCTTTTCATGAAGTTCAAATGAGCTAACATATCTCCACCTTTCAGAAGACGTGCTCTAAACAGTTTACATGTAAGATGTATGTGTGCACCTACACTGTCACAAACATAAATCCTCTTCAAATTCTCCCAACACCTAGCAGCAGACTCTTCTCCATGAATATGGACTAGCTGCTGGTCACTCAGTGTTAGCCCAATTATACAAAGAGCTCGTTCGTTGTTCTGTTTAAAGTCAGCCAGCTTCTTGGCATCGTCCTCATCATCTGGATCCCAAGCATTTACATCCGGTGGATCTTGAACTGCATTCCATAACCCTTCTCTACGCAGAAGTAGACTGCATTTCATAGACCAGGAAACATAGTTTGTTCCATCCAACTGGGTTATCAGTGATAGACTTGTTGATGGATCTTGTGCCATCTTTACCAGGACAGTAACTCACAATTAAACAGTAAACAGCTGTCTGTATATGGTACTGTGTATTCACACTAACTCTCAGTTATCTGAGCCTGGTATGGCCTGGGTCCATAACCAGTGTTGAGGTATTCCCCTTTAGGAGAATGAGTGCACTCAGGGAAACATAGTGAGATTGATGTTGAATAACACACAACCAGCATACAGATACACTGAATAGTAAAATTTAGGTTTTACTTCCAGTAAACAGGTAAACAAAGTCCAACTAACAGTCCAAATCACACACGCTTAAAGCAGTTAGTATCAGTCCAGGGATAATCCAAAAATGAAGTCAAGTATCATAAACAAAGTTCAGTAAATGGAGTTTGCTAACAGTTGCAAAAACTCACAGCAATCCAAGTAGAACGACGATCAGGCAAATAGGGCAAAACAGGAAATGCATGAAGAAAGAAACCAGGTTTCTGGCTCCATCTTATGGCCATTGGAGGAACCTCAACCAATCACAATTACACCATTCTCTTAAAGAAACAACATTAAATAACTATGCTGGTTTATATATTGCCAACCCAACTGTTACGTGACTATCATTCCTAACAAGGATTACAAAGCAGCGACCTGAGAGAGAGAAAAGAAAGGTGGAAATAAATGTAAGAGGATTTGAATTTTGACAGGAATTAAATTGAAGGAGGAAGCTGGAAGAAAATTTGGATAAACATATGATTTTGGCACTAAATAGGCATAATTAAATGTTGAACTTGAATGTGCCAAAAAGAAATAATTAATAATTTGTACTTATTGAATTATTGAAACTTAAAAGCCACAAACAAAGGGGGGAAAAGTGGAAAGAAAGGATGGAACTTGGACGTAACAGAGAGCGCCACCTAATGGTAAAGGAAAAATTTTAGCGACTTTTTTAAAAAGTGCCTGGTTTTTTTCAAAATTGGAACTTGATACAAAATAAGAGGAACGTTGTTACAATAAAATAGAAAGCCTGAAAAGTGGAAACCGAAAACACAGAATATTAAGATAAAAGAAAGAAGCGTAAAGAAATTATCTTGGGATTGTTTGGTGATTTTGATACAAATTTAAATTTATGGATATTGGATGACTTTTGAAAAAATTTAAAGAGGAAGTAATAAAAGCTGATCGTTGGAAATAAATATCAAAGATGCTGGTTGAATTAAATTACTGGACAATTGGTTTGGACTTAAATACCAAAGAAAGGGATAAAGAAAATATGAAAGAAATGTATAAACATGGTAGAACTTTTCTTGGAACTAAAAATGGAATTAAGAAACATAAAGGAAATGTTATATGAAAGAAACAAATCGTGCTGTATTGCCTTACAATTAATAGAAATGGCGATTTTGGAGAACAAAGAACAACAAGGAGTGCCAGAAGAGGAGGAGCTGATCAAAGAAGAAGCCAGCTTCAATGAACAAATGGAACAACAAACATTAAAATGAAAGGAAAAATGAATGGAAATTAAAAGTTGGAGGTTTGAGGGGACAATTAAAAAGGGAAATGTTTTGAAAACCAAACAAAGAAAAAGGAAACAGCAGAAATGGGAATTACAGAAGAAAATTTTAAAGAGGGAGGAGGATAAAAATTTGAGTAAGAAACGGAGAGAAAAAATGAAGGAAAAAAAAGATAATAAGAGGAAAAAAACAGAAAATAAGGAGATATGGAAACCGAACAAAAAGGATAAGAAATTATTTAGATATAGAGATAATGGGTAGATAAAGATTAATGAAAAGAGATTCTGCAAGGTAATGTGTTGTAATATATAAGAATGTAGTTTTTAAAAGGTCATGGAACTGATATATTTTTTTATTAATTGGTTTTTTTTAAGGATTATTGTTAATTTATATATGAAATAAATGCAAAAACTGGAAGCTATGATAAGAAGATGAATTATATTTAATAAAATAAAGAATGCAGTTAAAATGAATTATGAGGATTCTAGTGAAAAGACTAATATCAGTTTCTACAATTAACTGAATAGATCAATATATTTGAAATAATAAATGAGTTAGAAAGTAATTGAGGGAAAGAATACCAGGCAGAATCTTTTTTGTGTGTGTGTGTGTGTGTGTGTGTGTATTCAACTTTGTTCGGGTATTTTCCCACGTCATTATAGACGTGGAAAAATACCCGAACAAAGCTGAATACCATACATGTAAGTACCCGCGAAAACTTAAGAAAATATATACATACACACACACACACTCACACACACACGTATATGTGATACATAGTAGTTAGGAGATTATTGTTATTAAACTAGAATGTCATAATTATACAGTGATTATATTAGGATAAACTTTGATTATGGATTAAACAGGAATAAATTGAAAGATATATAAGATTAAAAGGTGGCACACTCTAATTGGTAATTAAAGGGGGAAATTTTTGGAATTATTAGATGTAAGATGAAATTTATTGAATAATGAAACAAAAGTATGTGATAAAATTGCAAATGTAACAGATAAAAGTATAAAGGAATCATGAATTTAGAATAAAAAATAAGAATGTTAGACTATAAAACAAGATATGAGAATATTTAAAGAAAAAGGAATTAAGTTAAGATATAAATTGAAAATGGATTTGATAAGTGTAAAGAAAATAAGAATATTGGAGTAAATTTAAAACGGAAGTAATGATATGTTATAGAATTGAATGTGAAAGATAAATATATACTAAGATTATGTTTGTATTGAAGTGTAAAAACTTGGAACCACACTGTTCACGGAAAGAGATGTTTTTAAAATGTAACAATAAAAAGTTTATTACAAAAAAAACACCAAAAAAGAAGGAAAGTAACATGTACAGGAATAAAGAGAGAAACGCAGATGGAACTCCTATTGAAAGTACTGAGACAATTATATTTGTCTTTGTTTAATTGCCTATAAAATTGGGACTTTGAAGTCAATCTGCTTGTTACTTAGAAAATTGAATATCTTGGAAAAGTAAATAATACAGTGCTCTGTAGATGGAAAGCATCAATAAAATGGGCCAAAAATAGCCTTTTCATTTTCAGTTTGAAATCAGAAAATTGATACAGCAGAAGTAAATAAATGAATAATAAACCAAATTAGATGGGCGGACAAATTAAGTAGTTTTTAACCTTTAAAATATTTAAATTTGTTGCAATATATATCAACACTTAATTGTTACACTTTTATTGCTTATGCAAATAAATAATTGTTTTACCTGCTTGGTCTTTAAGTATTTTTGATATAACAACAGGCACTTTGTGCTCGGCACCACCCTGAAAGAGACGATAAAAATAAAATTTGTTTTATGTGTGATATGTTATAAAACTATGTAATTATAAAAATATGCATACCTTTATACTTAAGCCCAAGCCGCCAACTGGTTGTCTACGAAGTTTAACGGTTCTGTGCTTTAAAAAATGGTAGAAAAAAATAAATTTAGGTGAAAATTCAATATTAGATGTATGCTTAAGAAATTTATTCATATACTTTGGTTTATGCAAATTCTTGATCTAGAAAGTCAAAAGAATAAAAATATGGCATTTAATCAATACTAGTCTCAGTACATCCAAAAAGTTTTTGGGGTTATTGATTGGTTAAAGGCCATAGTGTGGTGGTATGCAAGCTAGATTAGAGATTCTAACTTGAGCATAGTTGCTGTAAAACTGGACTTTGGTTTTGCTACATATTACCAAAGCACTCAAAACTGGTGCAGGTATGATTATGACCAATAATCCAATCTATTCTTCCTATATCTTACTAAACAAAACTTATGTGAAACCCTCTGTTGACCAACATCATGAAGGGCAAAGGAAGTCAACATATATGAATTTGTTTGGTAACAGTTATAGCTTTTCTTTTTAATTGCTTTTTTATTTTATTGTACTTACAATGTTTATGCAGTGGTGTGAGCCAATTGTTAAATTTTGGGGAATTATGCAAGCCAATTGACAGTAAAGCTGAACTACTAAACAATGCCTAATGTGTTGATTACCTGCTCTGGGGCTAGCAACATGGCAGCAGCAATGAAGTTGGCAAACATTTACCATTTACATTTACATTTACCATTTCATATATATATGAAATGAATAGATGGTGGAAGGAGGTAACAGATCTGAATGAAAGGGATCTGATTTTGCAGAATGGAAATAAAGGCAAAAAAGCAAAGTGGGGAAAGCAAATTGTCAGAGAAAAAAATTAAAGGATTCATCAGAAAGTATGAACTGGTGTCATGTATGCTTATGAAGTAGGAATTCATACATTTGTGAGAGTTTTCTATTATGCTCCAGTAAATGGCAAAAATGAAAGAATCAGGGATGCGCTTTTTGTAAAAAGAAGAAAGTGAACAGGTGGCTTGAATAGATGAGAAATGAAAGGCGGGTGTGATAGACAAGACAAGAGACATGAACAAAGATATCTGGCTATTCAGAAATCGAAAAATGAAAGGGCATGTTGACTTTCAGTAATTATCTGCTTAAAAACATGTGTTTAAGCATAAAATGTTACCATGCATATGCATGGAGAAGGAAAGCACAGGAAAACATAGCCAATTTTATTGGTTATAATGAAAAAACTGAAGAAAATTAGTGAAATTAATATTGCCCAAACATGCACTTTCCCTTCTTAGGTTTGTACCGCTGTTGAAAAACCCAAGCCTCTGCTGCTTGCACTAACTCTGCAACTTGAAAAATTATCTTGGATTTTTATAATCAACAAGTATTACCTATGCCCTCAAAATTGTTCACCCTTTTCTCCAAAGCCAAGAGGTTACTCTTGATACATTCCCCTTCCAGCTCCCTTGCTCAAGAGGAACTTGCTGGGTTATCTGACCACCTCTATTTCAACTGCTGTACTTCATGCCAAGTCTACCAGCAAATATGTTCTCATCCATAACTGGATTGTGGATGATAGAGCAGACCTGTTTTGCATCACCAAACCTGAGTGGGCGAAGAGGGGTAACCAACATTGAAATTGAGTTCACTTGATGAGATCCTCAAAGAAAAAGATGAGTTATTTAAAGAAAAAGGCAGTGTATGAATTGATGTACACACCTGGTTGAATCAAGAATAGTTTGTAAGGACAGAAAAGTATGGAGAAGTACAGTGAATAATGATAGAAATTAATTTTACTTTCTTTTTCACTTCTGATGTTATTTTTTTTTTTTTTTTTGGCTTATGCTAGCTATGTGTGTATGCTAAAGGGAAAGAATTATATTCTCTGTTTGGTGCTTGAAATATAGAATGTTTTATAAGAGAAAGTGCTGTTCAAGTACTTGTCTACTGAAGTTTTTTTGATGCTCCATTGAGAGTTCAAACCGTTTCTCTATTCAAAAGTTGAATAGGAGCTTAATATATCATTCAGATATATTAAATATGATATGCCAAGCACATGTCTCATTAAAAGAGAAAGAGTTGTGATATGAATACTATAGAAAAACAGATGTGTGAATTTGATTAATACATCTTTTTAAAATATTTTTTCTTGGCCTTTAAACTGTTGAAGAATTAAAAATGCAGATATTGTTTCCAACGAAAACTCGTACTTGGCTCTTTCTTCTTTGAAATCTTTTACACACTGGATTTAAGTTTTTAGTCTAGATCAGTTCTTCTACCACTTCCAGTTGACTGCTCTCCTAGTGAACTGGTGTTCTTTTCATTTAATTCATTCCTTATGGCTAATTTCTTAGTATTTTTTGAAGAAAGTACATGTGATAAAAATCTTTATGGACTGTTCCCATGCAGTCTAATTCATATGTAATAGCACCATGCATTTTTGACACTTTATTCATGCTCAGTTTTCTTGAAATTTGATATAATAATAGAATATGAAATGACTCATTTTATTAATTAACATTAAATATTATATAATTTAGCAACATGCTGAGTCCAGTTCTACCCACAATGCCATTTCTCATCACTAAGAACAGACACTGTTGGATAGATCAAGATTGTTCTTAATATTGCACATGAGACACATTCCTTAGAAGTTCCCTAAAGATGGACTGCAGCATGAGTCCAAAAGCTCAGAAGATTAAACCTCTTGATCCAGTGACCGATACAGATTGGATCTTGCAACATTATCCTGGGACACTTATATTTGTTTTTAATACTGTTCTTATCATACATATTTATGCTTTTTAGAAGTTTGCTTTGTTTCCAAGAAATTTCCACACGTCTAACTAATTATATAGATAACTTGTGCCAAGTTCAATACACTTCATACAACGTTATATAAGTGAACTTGCATTCATAAAACTGAACAAGCTATTGTGCTCTTCCCTTATGCATGTCCTCAAATGGGTAGAATTGAATTGTTGGATGTGATGGCTTCAAAGGGCAAGAGGCAGAAACTTAGAACATTGAAAAAACATTGTAACCCATTTCATTGCATATGAAGAGAAATAGACAAGATCAGCTTAGAAAAAAATTCTTTAAATTTTAAATAACATTTTGTATTGACAAAGCAAGGACCACTTTGCATAATCAGTTCCATACCCTGTATTCACTTATAAAACAAGGAACATATGGATATAATTATGTTCTCTTGGATCATAGTCAACCTTTCTTCCAACATCAGACTCCTATGAAATCAGTAAAATTTAAACAAAAACCTCTATAAATCTTCTGTATTTATAAAAATTTGGAGACTGTCCGACTCTGAGCAGTCTACAATTAAAACATTTTAAATAATTTTGTTGTAGATTTAGAGCAAACCAATTGTTCCTTCTTTAAACAATGAATAATGATTTTTGTAATTAAGGAAACATTTTTGAAGGCTGTTAAATACCTTTTTTTTCCCGTTCAGTTCACCAGTGTGCTTTAGACTGGTGTTTCCTAAACTTTTTTCATCTCAGAACATCCCCCCTCTTTTAAGAATTATGGAGGACTCCACAAATTTTTCATTTGTATTGGTTATATTTGTTGATATTTACCATATCAAAGATTAAAATTGATGCATTCACTGCTTCTACTGCTTCTCATGATTATTTGATGGGATTTTAGTACGGTATTATTTTTCAACATAGGCTTACTAATTTTGATTTCAAGGTTCCCGGAAAAGATCTTGGGGGACCCCAAAGATCCTAGGACCACAATTTTAAAAAACACTGCTTCTGAATATTCAGCTATAGATTGGAACCATAATGGATGAAGTTTGGTTATCAGTTCAGTCAGGTTGACCAGTATTTATGAGACTATATAGCCATAATGTCCATGCCTGAGAAAGAAGAATGGTTCTGTAGGTGATGGGATTGGATGATATCTGATAATTTACTCCTGCCATGTCCCAAAATCACTACAATCAGTTCTACAGATGCAGCTTGTTCCTTGCCATAGCACAATTTGGAGACCACATATACATATTCCATGCATGTGTGTGTATATGTATATATTTGTGTGTGTAAGATAAAATATATGAAATAAATAGAATTAAGATTAGGCAAAATGTATGATTGCTTTTCCTACATTGCCTGGAGTTCAGCAAAGGTGTAGCTGGGCTTTTATAGCAAAGTTATATACATATACGTGGTTATATTATTGTTTAAGCTCCATGAAAAAAAATAGAAGTAAAAAGGTTAAATAACAAAATGTAGGTGGAAAGTGAAGAACTCTCATAGCATATTATATATGCAAAACAACCTACCTCAGAATTATGTACAGCTTTTATGAATGCTAAACAGGAACTTAATTCCTTTTGTACACTTGAAACAGAATATTAATTGAATTATACAAAATAAAGATACTGCGAGCAAATGGGAAGAACTTATAAGCCTTTTGGCAGAAATATTTAAAGTAATATAATATTATGCCTACTTTTAAGCATGGCTATATACAATTATTTTCTCTCTCTTTTTCTCTCTCTCTCAATTTTTATTCTCAGTTGTAGAATGCTAAGTCAAATTAAGAAACCAGGATGATCCCCGCCCTCTTTCTCTTCTGGAAGTAGATAAAAACTCATCTCTTCCAGACAGCCTTTGAGGATTAATTGTAACCAGCAGTACCAAATAATTGCTAATTTAATTTTAGCCCATTTTATTAATATTGAAATTGGAAATTAGGTTGTGGATTTTATTGATTTTAATGCTGACTTGCACAGCATTAAACTATATTTATACAGTAAATTCTTTACACAGCCTAGTCTCTGCTACATTTCTCACAATGCATGAGAAATAAAATATATTCAACATTATGTGAAATGTTTCATATAATTGTGCCTGTAGAAGTATGCCTTTACGTGTGTTTCCTTTTGAGTTACTGGTGATGACTATGGCTGGGTGTATGCAATACACTTGGTCCTAAAAATAAAGGAATCTGCGGATTTTCTTGACTTGTCATAGCTGACTTTAGGGAACAGTGCTCATCTCTGTTTAAAGAGCCACTGAGCTAGCACTATCCAAAGATGTTTCCAGCCA